CATTCTCCCTCGCCATCCGCGTGCTGTGATTTATAATTGATTGATTTGCATGTTGGATTATTCATGCAAAGAAAAGCACAATGAATGGCGGATGACGTTAATTCTTCGTAAATCACATGATTAATGAGAGCATTCCACTCGTAGCTGATGAAGGATTGTTCCTTCTTTATTGCGCTCTTGTCTGTGGTGAAATGAAAAAAAGTGTGTTGTTTCAGGTGTTTATAAGACGTTGTGTGATGTCGTTTAGGGGTGTGACATCGCTTAATAAGATATGCATACTCTTTGGACTGAGGCCATGAGGGTCCTTTTCATTTCTATGGAAAAACCATATCTTGTAAGAAAAAAGAGGAAAAGGTCTTTTCCACAAGAGGAAGGTATAAATTAAGAAGTATTCCTCTCCTCGAGTTTTAACCGGAATAACTAGTAAATCACTGCATTTTTTTCTATTCCTCCCATCAGCCAATTGCTCCATACTACATTAAGTTGAAACTTAGGCAGCCATCGTTTCTGTTAAATTGATTATTAGGGTTCGCGCCAGCCGTTAATTAGCAACTTCAAGTGTGCATGCAACTAAAAATAACTACTAAATTTGACACAGCCCTTACTGAAAGTCAGTAATATACAACCTTCCGAATTTGGATGGCGCTTGTGACTGACAGCATGGTAATTAAATATAGGAATAAAATTAATGTAATTTGCAAACTATAATAAATTGTCTCAAACTTTGAACACCTGTTAAATTTTTGTTTGTTTGTTTGTTCATTGGCTTGAATCCTTTTCATTTTGTGACCAACATGAAATAACTGACGCAATAAGAGGGTGATTGATGTTTAAGTTTAAGGTAGTGAAAACTAAGTCATTAAACCAGGGGTTTACCGCAATGATTCAATTTACCCCCTCCCCCCCTAAAATTTGATGTTGTTTGTTAAAAACTGCCCCTATTTTCTAGGCGCTCCATTGAGTAACCACTCTTTTTCTTATAACTGCACCTATTCTGTTTCAGCGATAGCATAATTCGCAACGGATGTAGAGCAATTTTGTCAATTCAACTACTCTCTGCAAGTCACAAATCAGCTCACCTTTCCCATCGAAGGGCTGGGCGTGTGTAAGTTTACACACATATTTATACCACATAATACACGGTGTGTCATTCCATTTTCCACGGGACGACGACCCATCCAGAATTACACAATCGCTCATGTTAAAGCCATCATTCGGTTCATTATCTTCCCAGTTCTCATATGTAACAGTGCTGCCATCGCTCCAAACGAACACTCCTTCAGTTTTGTTGTCGTTAAGACCAATGAAAACGTTTTTGCCTCCGGCCAAAGTTCGCACAACTTCGTTTTCTTCTGGGCTATGAATTGACACCAGATTTGCTTGGTCCTTTTTACAAGCAGCAGAAGCGTCTGAGAAAGAGGCTTGGGAAGGAACAAACTTAAAGCAAGCTTTATTCCATTCTTTCCATCCCGAGTGACACTGAGCTGCCTTAGAACACCAAAAGAATCCACAAACTAAAAAAGAAGAAAAAGAAAAATAACGGCAAAAAAAGGTATTATGACTCCATGTGTCGTCGGCTATAGACTACAATAAGTCCTTGCTTTTTAGTGAAATCCGTCGCGCGGGTCACAAAAGAAATCAGTCAAAAAAAAAATGTTAGTGCGCAGTGCAGAACTCTGGGAGTGAGGCACAAGGCACTAACATCACTTGTTTGTTTGTTTGTATTTTTCACTGATTTGTTTTCACTTGTACGACAGACTTCACAGAAAAAGAGGTTGCTGGTAGTCGACGTCCGTTATGCGAAAGTTTAATACTCATGACCTTGTTCTGAAATGGTGCGAAAATAGAGGCAAGGTCTACAATATGGGAAATAATTGTGAGAAATTGTAGCAAATGATGTTGGAAAGTGCTCAATACACATGAGTGTAGAGCGAAATACAGTTCAAAATGACTAAAATGAAACAGGCATGATTCCCTGTAACTCTGAGTTTTGTGCTTACACACTCGTCCGACAGATTTAATGAAAAACATTCTTGTAGGCTAATTTATATAAATAAAGAAAGGTAGCTGCTGATTACAATAGGTTGTTGTTATATAATAGGTGAGAAAAACTTACTGAATAAAAGATCTGAACTTATATCCGAATACCGTCACGAAAACAAGTTTTATCTAAAGAACATCTGACGCTTTCCCGCTACAATAGACTTTTGTCAATATATTTACACCTACTGCCTCATTGTCCTTCATTGATACATCCACACCCATTGTAATTTTCGCTTTTTCTCACCTACTATATAACAACAACCTATTGTAATCAGCAGCTACCTTTTATATATAGATATAAATTAACCTACGAGAATGTTTTTCATTAAATCTGTTTGAAGAGTGCGTAAGCACGAAACTCAAAGTTACAGGGAATCATGCGTGTTTCATTTTAGTCATTTTGAACAATATGGGAAATATATATTTTTAGAACACTTCAACGGCAGTGCCGGTCATTTTGAGGAAAACGAACCGTAAAATATTTTCTGTAATCTAAAAATCATTTTAAATTATCAAGGTTACCCTTCCGACGACACGATTTTATCTAATTTCCTGAAATATTTATGGTGTGTAATGAAATCATTAAAAATGGCTAAGGCAACTTAAACTAAATGAGAAATTTGCATTCAAAGACATTTTCCGCTCTTTTCACCGTCGTGTTTTATAGGGTCGAACTGTTTTAACTGTTTTTGGATCTAACTCATTTACGCCAACACTGAAAAAATCAGTAATGTCGTGGTTCTGATCAAGGTACACTTTCAGGTTGGAATTCTGCATCACTGAATTATTTCAAAATATAGCTAAATTTCCAATGCGTATTTGTTAAATAAAAATCAGAATTTCCATTTTCTGTAACAGGTGAAAGCTTTTTATAGAAACAATTTAATATGTCCGGTCAAATAAAAGAGAAAAAAACCATTTGAAGGTAACAATCGTCACCTTTCGGGATCTTTAAAACCTAAGAACGATCCAAATGTGTCATTGCCGGCTGTGTAATTACACTGAATGGATCCATAACACTAAATCTGTAACTCATTTACTTTTATGTTCATTACATTTTTAAAATCAAAACCTTTGAAAAACCATCAAGGCCTGTAGAGTAATTAAGAGCCGTATGAAACAGGAATATACCCTGGCAGAAAAGGAGGCACCGACATCGAGTAAAAAGGTCTTGTTTTTATATAAGTGCTCTAAGTTTGCGAAACTTAAGTTTTTATGCCTGCCACAACAAAACATAGCAAAAAATAAACAACATCAACAACAAACGGATCAGAAGAAAACAAACGATCTCGGAATCAATTTTCAATTCTTTAACTCAGGTTTAACATCCTCGTTTGAAAGCTAAATTTCATTAAGAAGTCCGGTATAACTATTTCCTGATTAAGATCTGCATTCGGGCGATTGCAGGTAGACATTACCAAAGGAAAAAGACAGTAACATATTTCGCCTTACGAAGGCGAGTCAACTAATGCTATCTCACTTCAGCTTCAAAGCCAGCGGTAACTCATCGGTTCTTGATAAAAAAAAAATTATTTCAAAGTTTCACATATACATCGTTCGGTTGTTAGAAAAACATTTTCAGTCTCTCATAGCTTCGTTTGGGCGTTTTCGGCAAATGTTTAGCTAAGAAAACTTGACATCTGTAAATTTGTAGCATCTGTCATTAAGTGTGCTTTTCTTGAATTTCCTCTGCGTTTGCCGCCATCATTTAATCTTTTTCATCAAAAAACCCACCATTACATGTTCGATGTTTTGATACGCCCTACTTGTCCCCCGTGAACCTGAAATCGACTTTGCTTGTTGCAATGTGTACAGCTTCCGTGAAAACAGTGAAATGAAAGCATTGCCCTTCCCTTAAGGATTTTTGCAGCTTTTCATAGCCGTGTAATTGTTTTTCTCTAAGATTAATTTTTTCGCATGACCCGATTCACTTAAAAGCATTTCTTAACTCGCAACGTTCGAGATTGGATAGCAAGTGGAGAATGTTTAAAAGTGGAATAAAATTCAAAATGCCATAGAAAAGAGCCTTACTTGTAAACGCAACACCAACTGCTGCAATCCATCTTTGTCGGTTCATGCTTCTTTGGGAATGACAGTTAAAAACTTACTACCCTATTTCAAGTTAAAAAATATTACCTCTCCTATGATTTGACTTTGAAATTTATTCACAAAGGCGCCGCTCATGTTCGATGAAATGTCCAAGGAGATTCCGAAGTATCCGCCGTCAGGAACATTTACAGCATCAAAATTAAAAACACTTAAAATCGGTGACGTCAATGACAACACTTGTGGTTCCTTTCGCATCATCTCATTGTGTTCCAATTTAAGATCTTCCAAGGGATTAGAAATCGGAAAATGCTCCTTTTTTCCAGGTAAAATTTCCTTGTATTGTAAACTACCACAGAAGCATATTTGATGTGGATGAAAAGTGAACCAGATGTGATAAAAGGTAAATTGTTATCACTTTTTTGGACATTTGTGGTGCATTTTGCGATATTAGAGCCCGATGAAATAAACCAATGAAAAGCGAGAATGAAACATCGTTCGATTTAGGCAGATAATAAATGTCACAAATCCATTCATTTCGACCACTTATGGAATCATTTGGAAATAATGTGCTTAGAATCAAAGGAACGTTGACAGAGAGTTTGCATTTCTTTGCAAGATAAATTCATGACGGAGAGAAAACTAAAAACAAAAATTTTGAAGGGGGTCCAAATCTGCGAGAGGTGGTCCACATCCGCTAGCGGATATGGAACGGAGTTCTAAATGCGCGGGGGATCTAAATCCGCTGAGACACAGGTATCAGAGACCCCTCTGAAAGGAAGACGCATTTGGCAAGAGTTGCCTGCTTTACCGTGGGAGATCTGGGTAGAAGACATACCTGTGTGGAAAAGTATGTGGAAAAGTGGAAAACATACTAAGATGACTCAGCTGACCAGTTATACCGATTTCTCATAAATAATGATGGCGACGAAATTTGGCTGGAAGAGAAAATTGCCTCAAAATTTAGTTGAGAAAAGGGCTGCTGTATTCGATGAAACCAACGAAAATTCAGCTGATGGCGTAGAGGAACCATTTGAATTGGACTGGCGAGTCCTTTTAGTGAAAAAAGGTGTGAAAAGCATTGAAGATAGCGTCACCAAAAGCAAGCGGCTCGAAGAAGAAGGAGTTTCTCTCGCAGAGCAACAGAGGTGGTACTTTTAGAAATTGATGTTACTTTGATTAGTTATATCTAAAATAGAATAGTTTCTTCCCGTGGAGTAGCGTGTTTATCACTTCATAGGCTCAGCACCTCTTTGCGTACTTGGGCCTCCTCTAAATTGCTGTAAATGTTTTATTGCCTTGAAGCTTTTGCTTGCTTCTTCCTAACCCTTTAAATCCAAAGAGTGACCATTATCCAATTTGTCCTATAGTAATACTACTGAATTATTCATTCAGATCATGAGGATAAAGGCGATGATTGCCAACCAAAGAAGCTTTGATTGTTGAATGAATTCTCGTAGTCAGTGCCGAAAGACGTGTATAGAGATGAATACAGAGAATATGGATACTGATATTAGGCTATGACGGGTTCAAAGGTTCTTACTTAATCTTATTTGTCCTTAACTTTGATATTTATGCATCTTTATTTTCAATTGATGCTGTGACAGGTACTGGGAAGCACTTGGAAAATGGAACGAAGCGGTATTGTTGACTCCAAACAATGCAAAGCTTTATGAAATGAAATCACAGGTAATGGTACTTTTCTCCTCTCACCCTAGAATTTAAAAATTCCAGGGCTTAGGCTAGGATTTTAAGCCTTGGCTTATCTGTCATATGAGTTGTTATTCATATTAGCTTTTTTTTTCATGTGTAATATAGGTATTACTAGAACTACATGAGTTATTTCCTGCTATACAAGCAGCAGAAAAAGCAGTTTCTTTGAACCCTTGTTGGTATGTAGCCTATCAAACTCTTGGTCGTGCGCAGATGGGGTATGGTGATGTTGAGATGGTAGGTACCAAGGGTATCCCATTTTATTATATAGATACTGATGAAAAACCAGGATTTTTCCTTTTACTGAAGAATCATATCTTCATCGCACGCAGTGAAGATACTATTTTATCTTTCATGTGTGAGGATATTGGTGTTGCCATGGTTACTAACATGATAAGTCAATTACAAGAGAGCTTCCTGCTCAGGCGTGCAGCCAGTTCTTTAAACATTTCATCAGTGTTAATAAAATAAACAGAACATTACATGGCCGCTTGGGAATATGGATTTTATCTTCTTGTGCTGTGAGAGATACTTTCAGCATTCAAAGATAAAATTTGTACCTCTGTGCAGCCATGTAATATCCTCTACTTTTTGCTAAATCTGCTAAATATGTCAATTGATTGTTGTATATATTAAACATCATCAAGAAATTGATAAATAAATTAATAGTAAACCATTTAGATAGCTTGTAAAGTGGTAGCCAGTGTCTCAATTCAAAGCTCTCCATAATTTATCACAGAAAATCTGGGAGGAGTGTCTCTACGGGACAAAGCTAGGTATTTGGAATGCTGGGAATTTATTCTGGTGATCCTGAATCAACTCTGCCTAAGCTTTTTTTTTATTAGAACATAGAGCAATAATCACGCTACTCTGACCCTACATGTTTGAAGACAGATCCCTAGACACTTGACCACAAATTCTTAAGAAAACTCTTTACCAATTTTTTTATGAAATGTTATTGCATACAAGAATTTTGACGTGGTTGTTGAGAAATCTTGTTTGAGGAAATTCTGGTAGATGTTCCTAGCTTTTAATTTTCCAGAACATTATCAACATGACATCTAAATCACTATGTCTTTTGACATGTAATGTCTGCAATGGTATTCAGAGGAAGTTTCTTATACTTTCAGTAAAACTGCTAGGTAAATTAAGCAGTTTAGCAATGTATCTCAATTTTCTTACTTTTAAGACCAGATTTGTATAGAAAGCTCAACATTTCTAAATGTTTTGGCTCAAAACAATGCTATAAACAAATTTATAACTGACAATATTTCTTGTGAGTAAAACAAAATATTTGAAATGCTTTGTTCCATAGGGGGTGAAAAGCTTCTCAAAAGCTATTCTGTTACAACCTGATGAATCAGAGGTAAGGAAATAATTGATCTTATTTTCTCTCACAGTTATTATGTGCATGATCATTGGTCAATTTAATGGGAAGCATTTCACTGTACAGCAAACTAAATTCAAAAATTTATTTTGAGCAATTGAAATCCTCCCCCTCTGCTTGAACCAAGAGATGCAATGACTATTTTACTAACCTCGTTTCTCAGCTTGCTTTTTCTGCTCCGTTTTATGGCCAACATTCTTTTTGCTTGGGCCATAGATCTGAGAGGAATAAACTTGGACAATAACTTAAAGTATGCACCTCAAACTTGGTTAGTAAGAGGTATAAAGTGTTTGATGGGGCATTTTTCACAATATTAGATAGATGCACAATAGAATAACATTTCCTTATTTGCATCAATGCATTTTGTTACCCTGCTCAATTATAAATTCTTTTGGAGATGTGGTCAGAGGATTTGCACTGGGCCTGGAAACTGAGAGAACAGAAAAGGAAACAAGATGAGATCAAGAATAGTACAAATCCTTCTGTCCTAGAAAGCAAAGAACTCTTCGAGCTATATGCCACAGACTTGGGACAGGAAATAGAGATGGAACAGACACCACTGAATTTAATAACCAAGGAAAAGTGAAATATTAATATAGAAAGAATGTATGTGGAGAAAAAATATTTGTGGTCAGGCAGTGAATATCTATTGACCTGCCAATCAGTAGCTCATAGAATGCAAAATGTCCTGGATGGTCGTTCCTGTAACTGATCAGTAGCCTTGTCAGTGTCACTCAAAACTTGTTTGGATGTAATGCACATCACCTTTGGGAGTCAAGTTACTTATAGTCATCAGTTGTGATAAGGAATGTACAGTGATAGTTTGAGGCCATGGAGCTAAATGGTTATAAGAAACATCAGGTTTACTTGCTATATTTCTTCAGCATTTAGGACCTGAAAGTGGATAACTTTTGAAAGCACTTAAATAATTTTTAACTGAAAGAACAGTGTAAAATTCCTATTCATTTATGCAGTCACAGTGTGAGTACCAAAACATAAGAAAGCCTTGGTTAACTCTTTGTTCTTCACAATGATAAGATTCCACTTTAAATATTCCTCCCACATATTTTTCTGCTTCAAATCAGTGAAATTGAACTTGTTCATTCTTAGAGAGATTTCCAATCTGTAACACTTTTTGGATATTTTGTTTGTCTAAGCCAGGATAGCATTACTGAACATTTCCTTTTCAGAAAAATCCTAGGTAGCATTTTCTTCACTAGGTAAGGTAAGGTAACCCTTAAGTGATTTACAAAAATAGTTTATGGCAGTCAGCTGACTAGGTCTTGGAATAACTAGTTTAATTTATAAACGGCATAGGCAATATTAGTGTCAAAAGTAAACACAAATTAGTATTTTCCTTAACATGCTATCTATTACAGCTTACAGAAAAATCCAAACTAAACCAAGACTGAACTTGCTCAGTCCTTTGTCCCCCAAGAGTGACTGGCTTCTAATTTCTCCTTGCAGTATCACTATAGAATCAAATATAAAGAGCATGAGAATAAAGAGAATGATCACCAATTTAAGAAGCTCCTGATTGTCAAACAAATTCTCCTAGTCAGTACCATAGGAAATGTTTTGGCAACAGAATGGAGAATATCAATATTCATGTTAGAGTGCAAAGACTTAAAAGAGAAGTATACCCTAGAAACCAATATCTTTCCTTCAATGTCATGTCAGGGTTTATCTTTCACAAATCCCTTTTGGCAAAGTTTGAGGATTGCTGAGAGTATCAACTTGTTAGAAAGTCTTCAAGTGTGCTAACAGTTTAAGACAACAGTCAGCACCTAAAGCATCTCAACAGTGAAGAGATCAAACTGTTGCAGCTGTACTCATCACAAAAAATTAATCAGATTCACAGCCAGGTTGCTAAGCAAGAGTGAAAATGGTACTTTCAGGGATCAATTTTCAACCGGATTTAAAGATAATTTGGGAAAGGTTAGATACTTTGGAATCTCAAAAGGCAATGATTGACACAATTTCTTGTGATTGTGTAAATAACAACTATCTTGTTTCAGAAGTAAAGTTCTCTTTAAACTTAACCTCATCACCTTGAGGGTGTCTTAGTTGAAATTAATTACAACTTCACCACTTGGCCTTTATAATGCTCTTTATTCATCACGTAAAACCATTACATCATTTAAATTCTTTTTTTCTAGTCTCCATAACAACATTAAAGATAAATCCTACCCTAAAACTTGCAGTTAAGAGCTAGTGTGCTGACTTTGGGCAAATGATAAATTAGTAAATAGAACTATGAAGTAAGACGACCCTTGTACTACTTCCCTGATGCAAGATTTCATTAGACAAATTACTCCTTAAGGAGTAGCTACTGAACCAACATTGGGTGACTTAACATTAAATTTAAAAATTGAAGATAAAGTCTCTTACTTTAACCCAGGACTGATTTGCCATCGGAACACACAATGCATTTGATAATTCTGTTGACTAAATATTTACCACTAAAAGAAGCAACATTGCCTCAGCCTCCCAAATGCTTTTGATGGAACCAAACCTGGAGACAGAATGCAGACTTTGGTGTCTAAAGAGAGCCTATGATGTAATGGTATTGAATACTACAAAGAGAGAGAGATGGGGGAAACAAAGCTAAGCTATCAGAATTCAGTTACCACTCGAGGTTGAAAATATGCCATTTTCTACTCTATGTAGTGGACAACAGTGGTCCACCAAAGCATAATCCTTCTGGAGTACCATATGGCTCCAGAGTTTATCACAATCAAAAAATGTCAGAAATAGTCTCACCCAGACTCAAGGTGAAAGGTGCAAGTTCACAATGATCATTATTTCACAAAAGAGAACCGCTGAAAAGTGTTTCTTGGAAAAAAATGTCTAGCCTAAATAGCATATCAATACTGTTGGGTCACTTACCAACAAAACAAAACAAACAAAATCAAACTATAAAAATGAACCAAAGATAAGGCTGATCAAAAAGTAATTTACAAGAACCTGAGTGGTAAGCCTAGGATCACTAAACAATTTTTCTTAATTTCCAATCTATTTTCCTGTGACATTTGATGGTCACAAATCACATGTACATTTTGCAACTGGAAGTTTTGCTAAGCACACCAAAATCCTAAAATCCATGTCAGTAACAGACTGTTTCATCCTTAAGAAAACAAAAAAGTCAAAAATTCTGCAACCTTGTATGTTGTATGCAGGGATCCCCTTTAGTTCCATAATGAAATTATGTCAGTTTTAGTTAATCTTGCAAAGAGTAATTTTTCCACATCTCTAACAGTACTAGGTTAGAAAACTTAGCATAACACTGTGACTTCCCTTTATAAACATCACTTCATTTTAACATTCAATCTGATGAAGACAAACATGAACATTTTGATATGAATTCTTGAGAAAAAGGAACCAAAGTTTGGTCTACTAATGTAAAATCAAATAAGTAAAACCATACATGAATAAAATAAACCTATGTCTAAAAAAAAAATTGAGTTAAACAATGTCAAAAACTCTAAGGTAATATTCTATGCCCACAAATAAAATATTGGACAAAGAAAAAATTCATTTGAGCTGACCAAACACATTTGAGGGGAAGCTTTGTTCACACAGTTTAAATGTAAAAATTATTATAACTATTGGATACCATGGTTTGTATGTTCAAAAATGTTTATCACTGTCTTAAAAAGAAAATAAAACTAATTTCTTCATCATCCTGCATTCCACATAAGATATTTAGACTTACTCTCTTTGTAGGCCTATATCACAACAATAAAGCTGGGCTTCTTAATTTCTGATCTCACTTCAGGGGTTACAATCCCCACTCGAAGATTTTGTTTAACTTTATACATTTGACAACAAACTGATTTATTTGTTCTTGAAATTTCCTATTTTAAAGGAATTCCAACATTACGTCAATTGCAAATAAAACTTGGCCTGTTGTAAAGCTTGAATCACTGCACACTATTCCACTTTCTCTGCATCACTCTTTTCATACTTTGCTGGCCGTTCACCCTTCTTGCTGAACTTTTTCACCAAAGCATCTTTAAAGCTCTTCTTCTTCTTCACCTTTGTTCCCTTCTTTTTTGCTGGGCTCTCAGGCTCTGGTGAATCAGCACCTGGAACCAACATGTCACCATCTGGACCATCCTCATCTCCAACCTCAGAACTCTTTTCATCACCTGCTTCACCATTCACTTCTGTTGTGATTACGACTGTCTTGTGTGTGTACTCTTGTCTGATTTCCTTTGTCTCATCACCGTTGATTCCCTTCTCATGAGGCACTGACTCTGTGATCACAACTTTTGATGTTTTTACTGTCACTTCATTGTTCTCAGGGGCCTGTTGCAAGAGAGAGAACTCAAATGATGGCACAACATACAGCCCTTCAACTCCCAAGATAAAATGATTTATACTCCCCTCTAGAAGCTACATATTTATTTGTAAATTAGGTACAAGAATTTGGAAAACAACTCCTAGCTGATGAGTTTGGGTATTCTCATAACCTGTTTGCTGGATAAATATATGGATGCTATGAAGGAGAACTAGCATGTTAATCACTCTGGGAGTGTAAGGGTTTAACTTAATTTATAACCAAATGATGTTGCAAAAAGATTTAACTAACTTCTAACCATCACAGAATAACATTAAAGATTTTTGTTTCTTAACTGTTATTGACAGGAATATCAAATGCAACAAATTTCTCAAAGTTTTTGCATGTCAGACAATCTTAGTGTTCAATCAAAGTTTGAAGTATTTCAAATACATACTGTTAGGCTTTCACTAGACAACTTGAAATGCTACAGGAACACTTATTTCTCTACCTGCTCCAAGTCCTTGTCAACTCTTTCTGGTAAAAGATCCTTAATTGTCACGGGCTCATCACTCTCCAACTCAACTTTCTCCTTGTCCTTCTTGTACTCTGTAGACTTCACTGGGGTGTTCAGCCATTTGACACGGTTTCTGTAAGTGTTTGCACGCCCTGTAGAATGGGATCTTTTAATTTGTCCTCGTTCAATCTCGGGTGTATAGTACATCTTTGCTCGTGTGGATGACACAGTAGATGGGGTGGTCACCTCTCTTTCTGCAGGTTTCTCACCATGGAACACTTCAGGATTTCTATACACATAGCCTGTCTTGTAACCCTATGGATGAAAAAACAAACCACCCCTTACACAATCAATCTGTTTGTTGGTATTGGATGAATATTAAATCTTTTCAAAACATTTCTTGATGCTAAATTGCAAAATTTGTTGAGCTAAACCACAATATGGATTGGATAAAAAAATGTGATTTTTCCTAGCACTACAGCACCAATACTACAGTCAATCAATTGAATTTTGTAGAACTTCAGGAAACTGTTATCTTAGTATCTTGGCAACTTGATTAATGCTTTGAATTTTACTGCTATTCTTTCATTCAATCCTGATTTTCATCACTCACTTGTCAAACTCGAACCTTAACTGCTCTGGGAATTTTTTAGAATGTTCTATTCGAGAACACGATTTTCTGGGAAATATTTGGACAAATTTTCATCCAAATTTTCTGGTAATTAATTTTGCAATCCTTTGTACAATATACTACTTGAAGGGTATGCTGTTTTTAACATATTTCATATGAGGTACACTGCCCCATCCCAAGCATTGATTGCATTAAACAGCTTTATTACTCAACAGTTATAGCACTAAGTAGAGTCTGAAAATGCATGAATCAAGTATAAATATCTTGTAATATTGTATGGATTTTTGGACAACAGCTGGTTATTTTAAGAACTCTATAAAACCTATCCACAGCAATTTTTATGCAAGACCTATCACAAACAGCTTCTTTACTTATACCAAATGTACATGAAATAGAGCAGCTGGATGATAAATTACTTGTTAGACATTTTGTTTTGTATAATTCTTACTTTTGGTTTTAATTTTGACATGACCTGCAGCCTTGTCAGAATATGGCACAACTTGTAAAAATACTCCCTGACACTACAAAGAGATATATATCCTATGAATTGCCACATTACCATTGAGTCCAGTAAACGCATCATTGCTTCAAACTCCATTTCTCCTCGCTTCCACTTTATGTCACCAGAGTTAACACCACCTCCTCCTTCTTGGGCTGTCTCAACCACTTGCTCTTGGGCAAAATCTTCACACTTGATGAGGTTATCAATTCCAACACCAACAGCTTTTATCTACAAATATAAAAATGTCATAATGATTGTAAATAAATAGTCAATAATATAAATTATGACTGGTAGAGCTACTGATGTATTATGCTTGTATTCATACTGTGTGAATGACAATAAGTGTTTGTGTATTCCTGGAATATGTACATGTTCTGTTTCATAGGCAGCCTGGAACTAGCACAGGTAAATGATAATGCACAATGGATGTAATGACCACATTCCAATACTTCATGTCAGTCAAGATTTCA